AACCCAGCTTCACTGTGACAGGTACCAGGTTGTTAATAGAATTTGATTATATTAACAATTTGATATGTGGCTATGAGTATCTTGCCTTTTCAGTCAGTCTCAAAAATAGGGACCAAACTGTCTGCTTTTTTTATCCATATCCAAAAAGAAAAGGTTTGCATTTTTGTGTTTAAGAGAAAAATAATCTAGTTCTCAATCCTTTACTTAAACAGGGATTGGTAATAGGAAAGATGCCTTTTTCTTTATAAAACCTATAAAGAAACTTCAGAGATCTCTATTCTGGTACTTGTCAAGTGACAAAATAGAGAAAATGGTACAGATGTGGCTCGTATTGGAAATGTGAATAAATTATTTTCTATTTTACTTCTTTGCATAATTTTGTTGTTGCTGTTGTTGTTGTTGTTTTGGCTGATCAAATTACCTTAGGAAAAATAGAAATAAATGATGAAATGATTTCACCAACATCAGTAGTATAGCTTTTTGAAATTTTATTCTTTTAGAAGAGCTAGTCAAAGAGAAATATCCATGCACCACATAGTAGTAATTTTTTGTTTGTTTTTTGTTTTGGAGAGGTTTTTGCTATAGAGCGTGTGCGCTCGCCAGAAAGAGAGAGACAGAGAGACAGAAAGCGAGAAATCCCCCCCCCCCCCCAAGGGGGATGGCCACGCTGCAATCCCTTCTCCTCCATTCTCCTCTCGGGATCTTGGGCACGCACGCACACACGCCTGGCGTGTGTTTAAGCCACAGGGTATGGGACTCGAACTGCGGTCGACTACATGCGAGTCCGGCGACATAGCCATTATGCTAACTTCTGTTCCCCATAGTAATAATTTTATACATTGAGCTTTTCAAATATTTTTGATGCACATGATCTCATTTGACCCTCGAAGCTACTCATGATATGAATGTTATCATTATTCCAATTCTACAGATGTGGAAACTACAGTTTATAAGAGTTAGCACATGGTGAATTCAAGCTAATAATTGGAGAATGAATGAACTGGACCTAGTACTGACTGATTTCAAAACCTGTGCTCTGTTTTGCACACCATAGTTGAGGAATGTCAGAATCTATCTTTCCCTCTCTCCTGGCTAGAGATTCCCAATGGATAGAAAATCTAATAAGCCAGTAGGGACCTTGTTAGTAGCCACTGATGCCAAAATGGCTTTAAGTTCTTCGTGAGGAGCAGTGACAGTTCCCCAGGTTATTTTGTGTTATGCCTTCAAGTTTTCATGCTGCATTCCTCAGGGAAATTAATAAACGGTTTGTGTTGATAGTAACAAGAGAGGGTCTCAACTCGCTGATCTCTGTCTTTACATCCCTAATACAACTGAGGAGTTTTGTTTGTTTTTAATATCAATGCCTGTTTCTGACACCTGGAGATTTGGATTTAATTGGTTGACAATGGGGCTCAAGCACTTCGAATTTTAACATACCCTGGGTGCTTCTAATATGCAACCACGTTTGAAATTCACTGAATTAGGCTAAATTGTTCTCCACCCTTTAAAACTGAATGCATGCTTCAAAAACTTGATCTCTGAATATATTATTTCCTTTCCATGAACATTTTTTCTCCTATATGCCAATGGCCCAAAAATGCTTCTGTCTTTAAAATCTCATTCCACAAGCTTCTGCCTTAAACATATTTTTGTTGATAACTATTCCAATGTATTCCCTTAAAAATGGTGTTTTTAGGGGCCAGCAGGTGGTATGGTGATTAAGGTGCTGGATGCTCTCACATGGCTGGCAATGGTTCAAGTCCTGGACCTGGTGGTTTGCCTTCTCACTTTCCCTCTCTATGTGTCTCTCTCTGGTCAAATTAAAATAGTGAATAAATAAAATTAAAGTAAATATTTTTAAAAAAGAAAATGGTGTTTTGAAAATTGAGCAACTATTACACGTTAGGCCCTGCCCAAGTATTTTCACATACATCATCTCCTATAATTCAGCTTGTTTCTTTATAGGAAGCTGGATTATAGACATTGCACTTTGTCATACCTGTTAGATTTTGAAATGTGAAAAGATAAGTTAAATCTTCAGAAGAGTGAAGCACATGTAATTAATTTTATTTCAAGTGCATCTTTAAGCTTATTTTAACATTTCGTTGTGTTGCAGAGAAAAAAAAAAACTGGGAAAAGGAAGCCAAAAAGGTGACAGAAAATGTATATGAGTCCACCTGGAGACTTAAAAGAAGTGAATGTTAGGCTCTTTGTCTTGTCCTCCTAAGTTACTCTCCTAACGTGCAATTTAATTAAGTAGCTACGAAGTGCATACCTTTAAAAGGTTATGCAGAGCAATTTTAGGAGCCTGTATTTGGTGGCTGAATACTTGTAAAAAGGCTTGAAATTTAAACTACTTGCTGACAAAATGTAAAAAGATCATAGATCTGAGTAAGTCTCTAAGAACACCAAAAATATTAACTTTCAATTAACATCCAGTTTTCTCAAGCAAAGTGTTATTTCTACAATCAGGAATGTAATTAATTTTATTTATGCTTATGAGAAAATACTTTTAGTTTTACTGAGGTGAGTCCTTCATTTAAGGGAAACAAAGCAAGAAAGCACATGTGGAGGTACGTGTTTCCTACAATGCAATTATTATACAATAGGTCATAAATGATGCACTAATTTTGTGGTTTCCAAAAGTGTGGTTCCTAAGCCAGAAGTGTCACCTATAAATTTGTTAGAAATACAAATGCTCTGGAACAAGCAGATGGCATAATGGTTATTTTGTTGGACTCTTATGTAGTTGACCATGGTTCAGTCCTGGACCTGCAGTCTAATACTTATGGGGGTGCATGTACATGTGTGAGTGCCCAAAATTCCAAGAGGAGAAGGAATTCCAGTGTGGTCTTCTCCCCAGAGGGTGATTTCTCACTTTCTGTCTCTCTGGCGAGTACATGTGCTCTATAGTAAAAATCTCTCTTATAAAATACACACACATATTCTCCCTCTCTCTCCCTCTCTCTCCCTCTCTCCCCCTCTCTCCCCCTCTCTCTCCTCTCTCCCCTAACAGAAAACTAATGAATCAGAGAGTCAGGGAGACTTAGTATGTGTGTTAAGAAGTCCTTCAGGTGATTCTAATGCACACTTGAGAAATAAATTGTTTATTCCAACTTGGCATTTTCTTGATAGTGAACAAAATCTGTTCCTTAAAATAAGACAACTGATGGTATTATTTGCCAATGATAGCATTTAAGCTTTTAAGTAAATATTCGAATTTTGGAAAATTGGAGTCCATCACAATGAGTTTGACATAGCAATCACTTAAAATAATTAGTCATCAGTAATATATAAGGAGAAAAAGAAACACTTAATTTCTCTTTTAACAGTTGGTTCCAGAGTTCCTCTTTAGGTTGTGACTCCCCTTGATTAAATTTCTCTGGGTATAAGGCCCAGGGGAGCCAAAGGACCCCTAGCAGGTGGGATGTCTGGTGTTACATTTTGAGTTGTCCTTACAAGTTAGGCTCCTATGTCTTCCCAAAGCTCCTATTAAATCTGTGACTCTTTTTCTGTTGGTGGATTTGTTTCCTAATGTAAATTAGGGTGAGGGGGATGGGATTCATGACTTAGCTCTGAGTACAGAAGAAATTGATGTTGAAGGGATAACACAGTAGATCAACAAATTTAGAAGTAACTATGAGTTAGAAAAGACAATGAAGGGGAATCTCTGAAGAAGCTCAGAAATCTTGGGAGACAATGGGATGAGACTTGACCTGATATATGGATTGTTTCTTTATTATAGTTAAGAAAAAACCCTTGCCTCAAAGAGTCCAGCGTATGCAATATTTTAAACTAGAGAGGGAATCACTCAAATGTAGACCCATAGTCCTACATCTGTAATTCCATAATGAAGAAGGCTATAAAAAGGAAATTATTTGTGGACCAGCATATGGCATAGTGGTCACCTCACTGGACACCCACATGGCCAACTGTAGTTCAAGTCTCAGACTCCGGGACTTGAAACTCATGCCCAAAGTCCCAGGAAGAGAATGGAAGAGAAGGAATTGTGGCATGGCCATCCCCTTTGGGGGTGCTTTCTTACTTTCCCTCTTACTGTCTCTCTCTTCCTCTAGTGAGGACATGTACCCTAAAGCAAAAATCTCTTAAAATCATTTTGCACCAATACTCTTAGTGGAAACATATGACTTTAGGCTGCTTATCATCCGTCTATTTCCAGGGTGGGTGTTTTTATACATTTTTCTGAAGTGTTATTAGTGTGTTGGATTATGTTGTATGGCTCAGTCTGCTAGAGTTATTGTCAATAACCTCAGTCCACATTATCTATGGGTGAGACATTCCAAGACCACCAGTGGATGCCTGAAACTGTGGACAGTACCAAACTCTATGTATACTGTACAATTTTTCCTATACCTACATACGTATGATAAAATTTAATTTATAAATTAGACACTGAAATTAACAACTAATAAAATAGAACCATCGTTATAATACATTGTAATAAAAGTTATGTACATGTACTAGCTCTCTAATTCTCTTTCTCTCTCTCTCAAAATACCTCATCATACTGTGCTCATCCTTCTTGTGGTGATATGAGATAACTGAAACCTTGGAAAGTAAGACCCCACGTAAGAGGGGACAACACATAATTTTACTTAACTCAGAAAACTTAATTCTTGGGACAAGCAGTTGGAGTAATGGCTATGGTGCTGTACTCCCATGTAGTCTACTATGGTTCGAGTCCCAGACCTGGTGGCTTAAACTCACGTTGGGCACGTGCATGTGCATGCCCAGGATCCCAAGAGGAGAGAATGGAGAAGGGGTTGTGGCATGGCCATCCCCCCTGGGGGAGTGATTTCTCACTTTCTGTCTCTGTCTCTCTGGCGAGTGCATGCACTCTAGCAAAAACCTCTCCAAAAAAAAGGAAGAAAACTTGATTCTCAAATACTTCTCGGCATAGGATTTTGTATAAAAAGCTATAAACATAAATTCAGAAAAATATATAAAAAGGTTAAAGCAAATGAAAATAAAGGGATTACCTTCAAGTGTATTTCTAAAGCTGAAGTTGGCAGCTTTATCCATGGAATCTGATTCATACTGGGTCAAGTTGAGGCAGAATTCCACATCAGCTGAAGTGGGGAGCCTTGGGGTTCTAGCTTTGTCATGGTTTCCAGGATTGCGAAGTAACGGTCCCTCGGGAGTTCCATCACATAAAGCTTGGCGGCTATTGTACTCCTCCAACCGGCTACAGATAATCTGTAAAGACACCTTTATGTTAAAGGAATTGTCACCTCCTCTAAGTCAAGAAATGAGTGAGGAAGGTTGAGTTTCTGATTATTATCTTTAGATTTCTAATCATTAGGAAACTTCTAAAAGACAGTTTTTTAAGAATTATTTAACTTAATTAATTAATTTTAATTTACCCAGAGAGGGACAGACAGAGAGTCAGCAAGTCTGGGACTTGAACTGTAGTTGGCCATGTGTGAGTCTAGCACCCTTGACCATCATGCCACCTGCTGACACTGAGGAGATTTTTTTTTTAAATTGTTGAAGGAAACAGCTTTTCGAAGACTAAACCATGAAAGTTAAAACCCAGAACAGGGTTCTAGTCTTGCCTCTACCACTTAAGGAAATGATTTAAATTCCCTAGGCTTCAATGTGTCAAATGGAGATCAGAATCCCTGCTTTGTGTAATTGTAAATACTGATAAGAAAATCAATTCAGCAAATATGTGTTAGACATTTATTCTATGATGAACATTGTTCTAGGTGCTGAGGCTGGGTTGATAATAATAGAAATAGTCACTTCTCTGTATAGAAAGTCCAGCACAAGGCATGGTCCATAGTCAATGCTCAATAAAACAGTAGCTTTATTATTAATCCATATTGTCCAGAATTTCAAGGACTGAGGATAAATTTTACTTTGTGCTTTTTTTTGTCATAAAATGTCTCATTATTGGTGCCATTTTTTTTTCATGTACAGAATAATGCTCATTTTTTAAGGCATGACAATTCCCTGATTTTTTAATTTAGCAAAAACCAATGTGTTTCTCCTTGTAGAAAATAATTAATTTTTTTGGAGAGGATTTTGCTATAGGGCTCTTGCACTTGGCAGAAAGACCGAGAGAAACAGAGACAGAAAGAGAGAAATCACCCCCTGGGGGGATGGCCACATGGCAATCCCTCCTTCTCCATTCTCCTCTCAGGATCTTGGGCACACACGCAGACACGCACACACGCCCGACGTGAGTTTAAGCCACCAGGTCTGGAACTCAAACTGTGGTCAATTACATGGGAGTTCATTGACAAAGCCATTACACCAATTGCTAGTTCTGAAAATAATTACTTTTATAAAATGTTTTAAGAAAACATGGAACATGTATTGTTTCTTATAAATCAGACCACAATACTTGCAACCATTAGAAATAAGGAAACTGGGAACCACCAGTTAGCGTAATGGCTATGTCGCTGGACTCCCATGTAGTTGACCACGGTTCGGGTCCTGGACCCGGTGGCTTAAACTCACGTCGGGCACATGTGCGTGTGTGCCCAAGATCCCGAGAGGAGACTGGAGGGGAAGGGATTGTGGCGTGGCCATCCCCCTTGCAGGGTGATTTCTCACTTTCTATGTCTCTGTCTTTCTGGTGAGCACATGTGCTTTATGGCAAAAGAAAAAAGAAAAAAGAAATAAATAAAACCTCTCCAAAAAAAAAGAAAAAAAAGGAAAGAAAGAAATAAGGAAACTGAACAGATAGCATAACAGTTACATCACTAGACCCTCACATAGTCTATTATGATTCGAGTCTGGGATCCAGTGGCTTAAAAACTCATGTGGGGCATGTGTGTGTGAGTGCGTACCCAAGACCCCAAGAGGAGAATGGAGGAGAAAGGATTTGGTGTGTGAAGTCATAAGAATCAAGGCATATTAATATGGCACGATTTTGCCTTATAGATGCTCAGTGCCACAGGCTCCTGATAACAGCAAAAAAAGGTTGGTCCATTCTGTGAATTGAATCTGTGACAGCTACAAGCAAAACTGAGTACTTCCTAGTAAAATATTAAGCTAATAAATTTTTACCAGAATAAAAGTCAAAGTCGTGAAATGGCCCTCCAAATCCTTCCTGCTATCCTACCTTGCCTTATTCTCTCTCTGGTATCATGCTGAATATCTTCATTTTGTGCCACTCTTGGCCTCCCCATTTCTTACCCACATCTGTGCTCTGGAAAGCTGATGTGTAGGGACTCTAGTAACTGGTTCCCCTGACCTTTGATTCCCTTTGGGTTCGATTAATGGAGGCACCTCAAGAGATCAGAGGACAAAAGAGTGAGTTGGGACTAATAGTTTTGCCAGTTTCTCTACTGCATCAGCTTCTGTTGACTGTGTCTCTCTACCCAAAGTCTCTGTCATGTGGCCCTCATCATGACTGAGCCACTTTTTCTAAGTTCATGGAAACTAAAATAGTAGATAGATAAAACTTGGTTCAGAAGCTGGCAGGAGGAATGATTGTTAAGGTAATGGACTCTCACATGGTCCACGGCAGTTTGAGTTCCAGACCTGGCGGTTTGAAAATCATGCTAGGTGCATGTATGCATGTACACACGTGCCCAAAAAATCCTGATAAGAGAATGGAGGAGAAGGGATTTTGATGTAGCCATCCCCCTGGGGGGTGATTTCTCACTTTCTCTCTCTCTTTCACTCTGGTGAGTACACACATCCTATGACAAAAACCTAAAAAAGAAAACAGACCAAAAAAACTCTTTTGAGTCAAAGTGCAATAGCAATAAATCAGTAATTCCATGAGATAACTTTTTTAATGTCCATTTTATAAGTGAGAAAACAGGCTTATAGTGGTTAAATGACTTCGCTAAACCTACATAGTTAATAAAATTAGGGAAGCCAATATTTTAGATACAGATTTGTTTGAATAAGGACCCAAATCTAAGCAACTATCTTAAATAAGAACCCCCCTTCCTATTACTCATTTATACAACAAGGCATTCCAGTTGACTTGTCCATTCATCTCTTCACTAAGGACTTTATTATAGAACTTCAAAGACTATATTGTAAGATCCCATGATCTCTGTCAGTCATCTTTTAACACACCATCCGGTGCAGTTAACCACATCCACTTTTATAAAGCACATTTCTATGGCTTTGATAATCACGTTCTTGTTTTTCTCCCTGGAGTTACTTCATGGTGTCCCATTGGCTCTACTTCATCCATTTTGCTTGCTAATGTTACAGTGCTCCAGGCAGGGGTAGCTCTATAATTTGCAACAACTAGAGTAAAATGAAAATGTAGGTTCCTGTGTAGGGGGGAGGGAATCAACATCCCCTTTCCATAGTCTCAAAGTACATTAAGTGACCCCATATTATAAAACCGACAAAGATTAAAACCTCCATGCCAAAATGTATTTGTACCACCAAACTGTCTCTAGGAACTCAGCATGTGATCATTATTAATAAACATGAGTATGTGCATACAATCCTTCGTTACAGTCAAAGTCAATAGCTTACCTTTGAGCAATTATCCTGATTCCTGTTTTACTTCAAATACTCAAACCTGGTTTATCGTTGGACCATTTGTTCAATAGACCATCCCATGACTTGGGACTTAGCCAGGTCCTCATCAGAGGCCTTTCTTAATTTCACAATGACTGTAGTCCTGTTTTACTTCAAACTGGTGTGCTTCAGAACGACTCACTATATTTTTCTCTCTGTATTTCTTTTCCCATCAACCATGCTGCAGTTCAAGCCCTAAACCCATGAGTCATCATGTTCAGGCCAGAAAACAGCAAGTTTTCCTTTTGTATTTTATTCTTTTTCACATGGAATCCATTAGTCATTGTTTTTTCATTTTTTTAGAGACTTTTGTTAAAGGGTGCATACACTCACTGAAGAGACAGAGAGAGAGACTGAGAGAGACAAAAAGCAAGAAATCACCCTTCAGAGGGATGGCCATGCTGCAATCCATTCTCCTCCATTCTCTTCTTGGGGTATTGGAGACAGGCATATGTGCCTGGCATGAACTTCAAGCCGCCAGGTCTGGGACTAAACTGTGGTCAGCCATCTGGGAGTCCAGCAACATAACCGTTAAGCATCTGCTGGTACCCCATCAGCCAATCTCATCAGTTCTATGTCTAAATCATATCTTGAATCTGGCAAGTCATTATGCATTTATTCACATCTCATGTGATGCTGTCGCTAAAAATCAGACCGCGCTTCTCTGGACACTGTACTTCCATGCTCATGGCTCTGTCGGTGGCTCAGAATGTCCACTCCTTGCCACGGATCTAATTTCGTACCTCTTCTTTAAGGCCAAGGCAAACAATTTGTGAAAACAGACATTGTTGACTCTGACTTAATTCAAGAGTGTGACTCTGAATGTTAATGAGTTTTAGGAATGCTTAACCAAATTATTTTTCTTATAGTTTCATTCATATGTGAATAGATGAATAAACTATGATAAACACATGACTAAAGACCAAAACTGCTCTTTCAGTATGCATAGAATTTAAATTCTAAGTGATTACAATACCATTTAAAAAACTGAAATTCAGAAAACCTGTGAGTGGACATAATTTTATCCCTATTTTAATAATGAGGAAATGGAGACTAAGTGCAGCAGACTTTATGAGGCTAGTAGGATATAAAAGCCTGCGTCCTGAGTGATAATATTGTGGACAATAGTTAAGACACAGAATAATATCTTAAAGGTGAAAAGCTTCCCTGGCCAACTGCTTGCATCAGAGTTTAAAATAATCAAGACCATCTTATTTATCTTCTTCCACAGTGAATTTGCAATCTATAAACATTTCTGAGCAAATTAAATTATCACCAGATAGAATTGAATGCCCCAGGGATGACTGCTAGTATTAGACAAGAGACTCAGAGAGAAACCACTTTCAAGTTTTGGTTATGAGGCATAATTTAAATTCTGGTGACTAAGAAAGACATAAAGGATTGTGTGGTTGAAAATACTTTGGCTTCATCTTCTGGTAGATGCAGTTTTGGTTTTGGCTCATTTACTTGCTAAATATGTGGAATGAGTATGTTTTTTAGAATTGCTTATATAGCAACTTTACTATCTATATTATCTATATCATATATTAATAATTATACCATAATACTATATCATATAGTATAAAGAATATTTTATGTATAAATATATCATTATATTATAAAACATTAAAAGTTTCCATTGTATTATGATATATATAATATCATATGGATATTATCATAATTATCTCATAATA